AAGAAAGTGTGTAGCAAGGAATGGTTTTCTATATTAAGAATTTACTCTAGTCTCAGATGGTGTGGGCAACTTGTAGATTTTTGAGGTTCCTCTTTCTTCCTGCCATGGTAAAAGCAATGAATTTAATTATTTTAGAAAATATTGCATAAAGAATGAAAACCTAGGTAATAGCATCCAGATCATTCGTGTTATAGAATGAAGTCAAGTACAACTACAAATCCAAAACTCCTATATCTGCTCTGAGACCAATTCATTTCCTGAAGAAAACCTAAATTTTTTTAAAAAAGTTCATATTTAAATTTAACAGTTCATATTTAAAATGATATGGGTATGAAAACAATCTAGATGTCTACATAATCACTGATCTGTTAACAACTGCAAATCAACTGGGGAATAACACTGAGAACCAGAAGTAAAAYTAATCAAAAAGACAAAGGACAACTTATTACAAATTAAACATACTATAAAATACTATGACAAATGGATTTTAAAAGTTATTAACAAGGCTACCCAGTTATAAGAAGGCTTACCAAAGATTATGGAAGCCATTATATAGCCTTCACTGGTAGGCAYTAATTAATGATGCAGCTGCTCATCTAGTCCAGTGCTTTCCAGCTGGGGGTGATTTTTGCCCTCTAGGGACATATGGCAATGTCTGGAAACTTGTCACTGCTGAAGTGCTGTGACATCCTATAAGTAGAAGAAAAGGATATTGCTGAATATCTTACCAAGCAGGGCAACAGCTACAGCAAAGAAGTGCTTCATTCAAGATGTCACTAGTGCCATGCAAAGTTCTGTCCTAGGCATACCAGTTTCGGGATTATCTTTAAATGCTTTCCTTATTACCATTAGCTCCTCCACATGCCCTTTTGTTTCCTTTTGGTTGCTAAATCTTGGATTTTCAGGGTCTAAAATTCTCTTGCTTCCATCTCTTTGCTATTGGTACCACCATCATTCAGTTGAAGCCTTTATCAATTTTCATCTGTGTAATTGCAGTAGCCTAATTGATTTTCCTCTTTTATTGTCTCTTTGCTTTGATTAATAAATTGATCTTACCAACCCCAAATCTTGAATGACATTCTATAATAGCACCCTATCAACAGTTTAGCCTTTTTCCTCTTCATACTCAAACCTGTTTCAGCACTATAGCTACCTGGATTACAAAAAACTTTTGTATAAAGGAAAATCTCTTACTGAAACTTGTTGATCTTTGCCTGTTCTTAAGTGCTACTCATCCTTAAAACAGTTTTTTCTCTCTTTGCAACTTTCTTTGAATGATTTCCAAAATAAATATCTTTGTCACAATCTGCCTTCCTATTATTAATACTTGTGCAGCATCCTATTTGTATTACAAACTCCAACAAGTCAGGAACTATATTTCACTTGTCTTTGAAGCACTTTTTTGTTCTGTGTTCAGTGCCTTGTTTACTCAGTAAATATTTGTTGCGTTGAAATAAGGTAATTAGAAGGAATATTTGTAATCATTATGAACAATCCCTGGTTTTATGTTCCTGTTTTATATACCTGTCATTGAAACTTTTCTGTTAAAGAAAGTCTGGCTTAAAAGGCCAAATAGTTCAAAAAATGTGATATTGGCTGGGGATATATATTACTCATTGGTAGAGCACTTGCCTAGTATTTGGAGGCCTTAGGTTTGTTTCAACCCCTAGTTCTGGGAGGAAAAAAAAATATATTCAATAAGTACTATGTTCTCCCAACTTTTCTCTGAGGATTTTTTAAAAAATATTTATTTTTTAGTTGTAGTTGGAAACAATACCTTTATTTCAATTATTTATTCTTATGTGGTGCTGAGGCTCGAACCCAGGGTCTTGCATGTGCGAGGCGAGYACTCTACTGCTGAGCCACAACCCCAGCCCCTTCTCTGAGGATCTTTGAAACCCGTGATCCACTCTTCTGCTTCCCCACCATCCTGTGTGGCACCTCCCCAACCCATCCAGCTTCATGTTTTCACTACCAGTTGCCTGCAAGGGTTCTGATGTGTTCCTTGTATGAAATTTTTAGGATTTTGCTGAATCAAAGGATGTTCTCTATCTGATATTAGGCAGATTCTAGGAACATACATGTTCCATGTTCTAAACTGAGAACACTTGTATGTCAAGTAGRCAGTATTCATCTATAATTTATTTTTTATTTTACTTTTTTATGCAAGAATAGAAGGTCAGTGGCATAGATGTTCTTCTATATTTTGTCTTATACAAGTGTTATGAAAAAATCTAATAAAATATTTTAAAGCAAAAAAATTTTTTAAAAAGTTCTATGAGCTGGTGATATAGCTTAGAGGTAGAACAYTTCCCTGTGTTTGCGAGGCCTGGGGTTTGAGCCCCAGCAGTGAGCAMCAGAAAAATAATGTGACATTGGTAGATATAGAGTTTTAGAATTTTTTTTTGGGTGTTTTCTTGTAGTTTCTATTCTTTATTACTGTTAGAAATGGGTTTTCTCTGATGTTCTTGTTTTAACTTCATGATTGTTTAAATCTATTTTAGCACTCTTTTTTAAATCAGTTCTAGTACAAGGGATAGAGGCATCTGTGCTGAACAATAGACGATTATACTTTTGTTAGCAGGCAAGAATAAGAACATGAGTAATAAAACAGTGAAGCACTGGAGGGGAATAATATTAACCCATGTTAATTTTCTATCAGGAGCAGTAAGCAGCAGCTCCTTTTCAGTTTTTATAAGCTATGCAATGGGATCCTAGTGAGGGACTCAGTATCATAAAGCTTGGAAGGATTTAAGTAACTAAAGTATTGAAATAACAAAGTCCCTTTATGAAAGTTAACATTAAGCAAATTAGAATTTCTGAAAAGTAGGTGAAAGAAATTGAATTTTTACTAGATGCTTTAAATTTTAAAGGAAAATCTAAGCAGAATAAAATCACCCCCCCTATAAAACTAAAATAAAAAAAAACTCAAGAAAGTGGGGGGGAGAAATGGTCTTTAAAAATCACTAAGCTTAAATAAGCTGGAGGGTACAGAAAAGAGGGTGTGCTTTATTACAGTGCTAGAAAAATTGAGAGAAATTGCTAAAGTTTCATCCAGAGCTAAATAATACCATACATTCTGGAGCACTATTTTTTGTAAATACAAAACCCAAGTTTAACCTAACTAAATTTAACCTGAGGATTACAGATACCTGGACAAATAGTACAGTTGACAGTAAATTATGATATTTGTGATCCTTGGTACTCAAGGGAAATAAGAACTCAAGTCAATTTTCACTGTGCTCAGAGAAGGCCTGAACCATTTACTCCAGTAGAACAAATAGTACTTCTTTCCTTAACCCATCTTGCAAAAGTAAAGCCAGAGGAGGTATGGAGTACTGTTCCGTTGAAGAAGGAACTGTTCATCTCCAAAGGAACTGTTTTACCTTTAAAGGAACAGTATTCATTACTAACTAAGACTAACTCTGCTTGTGACTAAACTTGTTTTGTATGCTCAGGAAACATACAGGCCTGTCCTCTAGACTTAGGCAAGTGGGCAGTACTAAGAGCTACCTCTGCCCCACCCTTAATTCTGACATTGAAAGGACATCACAAGTAGCTCCTTGGAATTGCCATGGACTGGTGTAAAGGAAATTCACCATAAAGGCTGGTTCAAAGTCTTACTTTGTTTTTCAGCATTCAATAGATTGTTGAGGGGAAACTTGCCAGCAGAGCCCTCTAACAAAAAGAAATATAAAATGAAGTGTTCTAAAAATAGACTCAATTTACATAGTGGTAATGGCACATATCTATAGTAAATGCTTATTTGGAATTTATTTGAAATACAAATTAAATTGGGCATCCAGTATTTTATTTGTTAAACCTGTCAACCTTACATTCATTCTAAGAAAGGACTATATCTTCCTTACCACAAAGAAACATAAAATACACTATTACTGATCATAATAGAAATGATTATATCAAATGCCTTCTACCAATTCAAGTTTATTTATATTTTTTGAACTGTAAGAGTGGATAGTCCAACTGTGCTAAGGAATTGCATCTTAGAATTGCATTTCTGTTTATGAAATTAATAGAGGATAATTTTTATTATCATTTTTATTAGAGCATTCTAGTTATACCTAGTAGCTGAGTTCATCCCGGCAGAATTATACATTCTTGAAATGTGACCCACTGCGTTTCATTCCCAGTTCCTCCCCTCACACTTGTGCTTTTCACACTCACATAAAAGTAAAATTCCTGTGGTTTATCTATATATGCACATGATGTGAGTTTGTTAAATTCACTCCACATTTCTTCCCATTTCCCATCCCTCCTTCCACCCTTCCAAGTCCTTTTMTACTCACCTTCCCTATATCTTTATGATATCCATCCTCACCCACCACCCTTTTCCTTATTTTTAAGCTCTAGCTTCCACATATGAGAGAAAACATTCAACCCTTGAATCTAGCTTATTTCACTTAGCATTATATTCTCCATTTCCATCCATTTACCAGCGAATACCATATTTTCTTCTTCTTTTTTTTTTAAATATTTACTTTTCAGTTCTCAGCAGACACAACATCTTTGTTTGTATGTGGTGCTGAGGATCGAACCCGGGCCGCACGCATGCCAGGCAGGCGCGCTACCGCTTGAGCCACATCCCCAGCCCCGATTTCATTCTTCTTTATGGCTGAGTAAAACTCCATTGTATGTGTTACCACATTTTCTTAATTCATTCATCCATTGATGGGCATCTGGACTGATTATAATTTTTTTAATTAAAAAACAAACTATAGCACTGTACATGTCTCCCCAGTGAACTTTCATTATTGCTGAAGAAAGCTGACATGAGCTCAGTTCAATACCCACTGTGACACGTACTTCACATTACTGAGGCCCAGAGCAATCATTGCTGCATTTGATAAGACACTGAACAGCACTGAAGTTTTTTTTCTGCATGTGATTATGAGATGGACATACCAACTTTTGTGTTTTGGAGCATCTGAAGTGGAGAAATTCTGAATGAGATACCAATCTATTTTACCTGCTATGTTAAAATGTCAAAKCCATATTATTATTTTAAAAATGAAGTGAAGGGTACATTGGAAGATAATACAGTTTTTACATTAATGGACCTTCTAGAGTCCTGGATTTTTCAAAATGACTGGACAACAATCTTCTTTATAATTTTCCTAGGCATTATTTTTGAAATAATACTCATAAAAATTTGTGCGTTCTTTAAGAAGACGGTGCTTCCAGAAATAGATAGTTCAGTTTCCTGGGAGGTAAGAACAAATGTTGACTTCTCCCACTCCTATTTTTCAGAATTACACATCAGAATAATTAATACCATTTTTTAACTGATATTTAGATTACTTTACTAATAACATTTATTTATTCATTTATTCTCCTGGAATAGAGTGAAGATAGTAGTTGCCTGAAAAGGAAGAAATTTGGTAAATATCACAGAATTTCATATTTTAATATGAAATTTATTTAGCATGAATTACTTCCACTAATACTGTGACTTTTTGATTCCCATTTAGCTCTAGGGAATCAGTCCATCATTCCACCATCTTCTGAAGAAGGGTAAGTGACACATTTTGAAATTAAATGAAATGGTTTGGTTGCATTCTATTAAAAAGTACATTTCCTTTTGAATTTCAGAAGATTTTCTCATATGTATAAGGTACTATAGCTGTTCAACATTAGAATTCAATCTAACATTTCTTTTAAGTGATTGTTAGTTCCAAGTTGTATTAGGGACTTTTTGCGTATTTGTAAGATCCTTCAAGGTAGTAATATTTTTGTTTTTACCGATAAGGAGGAATGAAGCTTGGAGAGACTCACTGACTTGCTTTCTTACTATAAATTCTTTCGCACTACCCACAAAGCAGTTGTTACCACCACATCTTATACTCCATTAGAGAGAAAATAGGCAAATTCATTTAGCATCTACTGTGGACCAGGTCAACACTAGGTGCTACAAAATTGACATAAAAGGACTTTATAAGATCAGAATCTTATCAGCATGCTAAAGGTAGCTCAGTGCTAGGGATGAAATACTGACAGCATCACTACTATGGTTGCTATCAATATTTTAGTTGTTTTCATCGAAATTTGTTCAACCACTATTAGGTATCTACTATATAATGGACACTATATATATTTGATCGTGGGTTATTAAAGGTAAGATACTCTCTGATCTCAAGAGGCTTATATTTTTGTGGAGAGACATACACAAAGGCTACTTGCCTTACAGTGCAGTAACAGTGACAAATATGACAACATTTAGGAGGTACTCACACCAGCCTTAGGATCTCAGGAATGGTTTCATGAAGGTTATGCTGGAGCTGAATTTTAGAGGACCAGTGAAAATTAGCCTGAAATAGAGAGTGAGGAGGATAAGAAAGGCATTCCAGACATGAGCGWAGGTGAAGAAGTAAGAAACAGCAGGCTATGTGAAAGAAATGGACAGTTATTTCAGAGCTGCTGTAATATTAACATTCAGTCAGGGATAGTAGTGGGGGATGGATGTGATGGGGTAGACAAGATCAAATCCTGAAGGGCTCTCTACACCACGTTAAGAGGCTTAGACTCTGTAGACAGTGACCACCGAAAGCTGCTCAAAGCATAGGAGCTTGTGTTTTAGCAAGACCACTTTTTTAAAAAAAATAAATATCTAAAAGTTCATATTTGCATTCAGTTAATCAAATTGTGTCATCCAGATAGATGTTTACTACAAAATTCCACTTGATGAATATAGAAATAATTAAAAAAGAGAAAACTATCGGAGCTGGGGATRTGGCTTAGAGGTAGAGTATTTGCCAGACATGTGAGGCACTGGGTTCGTTTCTCAGCACCACATATAAATAAATGAATAAAATAAAGGTCTATCAACAACTGAAAAAAAAGTAAACTTTCACTAAACAAACATCACAGTAATAATTGATACAGGCAAAATTTGCCATTGCATGACTAAACCAGGTGGAGAAATTATTATGAGAAACAAGATATTTATATAGCTTCAAAATAATGGCTTAATTACAAAGGGAAAAATAATGAATTTAACAGTTAAATCTGTCAGACAACACATGTAAACCAAGAATCAAGTTGGGAATTATCAATTATCAATAACATGTATTGAGGCACTAAGAAGAAAATATACTATTGTTTCTCTACGAACACGAATAATGTCATTCTAATAATGAAAAATCACTAGACAAAACAACATTCTGCACATTAACTGATTAGTTAGTTACCTTGAAAACTGTGAATGTGATGAAAGAAAATGAAAACTCCAAAAATTGTGTGCTAAGAGTTAGTACATATCTACTTTGTAGATCCCAAAGTTTGTTGCTATTTTGTTTTCTTTGTCTTTGTTCTTTTTTTTTTTTTAGTTTGTTCATTTTATACACATGACAGTAGAGTATATTTTGACATATTGTACACACCCGGAGTATGACATATTTTAATTAGAATCTCATTCTTGTGGTTGTACGTGATGTGTAATTTCACTGGTGGTGTATTCATGTATAAACATAGGAAAGTTATGTCCGGTTCGTTCCACTATCTTTTTTGAAGAATGAATAAAAGATTGCTTTGCGTTAGTCTAATTTCTTTAATGTGCCAGTTTATAGGGCTTTTAAAATTTATTCAGGTCACTTTATGTAGTATTGGGTCCTAGCAGCTATAGTTATGAAGTGGGTATCTTAAGAAGCTGGAGCACTCTCTGAAGGTACAGGTGGATAGGATCTGTGTTGGGACAGGTGGGGAGCTGGGATGTGACTGTGGCACCTCAGTCCCACAGAATAGACCCGGCTATACTGACTGAGTCAATGTTTGAGGCATTTCAGGGCTAAGGCGAACACTATGACCCAAGCTTCACATAGAATTCAAAGCCAAAGGGTTCACAAGTAAGAGGAAATCTCCACAGAAGTGGGAGAGAAAGATTTTCTCCTTCAGAGTTAAGGAGACAAGAGCCTGCCCACTCTTCATGCCAAGCTTCCTTTCCTATCTAGGCAGGATTAATTCTTCAGTAGCTCCTTTCTAGGGGATACTAACGGAGGGCAAGCAGTCACCCCTGAACTGAGATTTTACTTTCGGTGATTTCAGTTACCCAGTGTCAACCATGGTCTAAAAATGAACAAAACTCAAGAAATAAACAGTTTAAGTTTTAAATTGCACACCATTCTGAGTAACATGATAAAATTTCACGCCAACCCTCTCTGTTCTGCCCAAGTTGTGCATTATCCCTTTGTCCAGCATATCCAGGCTATCTATATGCCATCTTCCTGTTAGCCACTAAGTAGCTGTCCTGGATATCAGCTTGACTGTTACAGTATCACAGAGCTGTTCAAGTCATCTTTATGAGAGCAGTGAGGCTGGCAATAGTAGATATGCAAAAGAGGAGCCAAACAGTGTTTTCTTTAAGTGAAAAGGTGAAAGTAAACAAGATTTTTTGAAAAAAAAAAAAAGAGACCACATTCACATAACTTTTATTATACTATATTGTTTAAATTTTTTACTTTAGGGGGCTGGATTTGTGGCTCAGGGTGGAGGGCTTGCCTCACATGTGTGAGACACTGGATTTGATTCTAGCACCACATATAAATAAATGAATATAAAAAAGGTCCGTCAACATCTAAATTTTTTTTTAATTTTCTACTTTACTATTAATTGTTGTTAATCTACTAGTGGGCCTAATTCATAAATTAAACTCTAGGGAGTTCYGTCCTTAGCACCACAAATAAATATTTAAATAAACTTCATCATAGGTAGATATTATAAGAAAAAGATAGTATATATAGTTTTGGTATTATCAGAGGGGTCTTGGGAATAAGGGTGGGCTACTGTAGAAGAAGAGATTAGTGCAATGACATAAAGAGAACTAATAGGGAAGAGATACAGCTCCTGTAGCAGCAGCATCGTGTGGGGAAAACCCCAAATATTGGAATAAAAATGGTCTAAATTCATATTGCCTCTTAACTGATGGCATGGATTTGGGCTAATAGTTTAAAGTCATTCCTTATTTTCAAAATAGGAGTTAGAACAAACTGTTAGGGTTATTATCAAGATTGGTTAAAATGACATCTGTAACAAAGCACAGATATTTTATCCTAGCACCAGAATTTCCTTTCTGGAACAGAACTGTATTTGAAATAGCATCTTAAAAGATTAGTTTGGGGGTAAATATTTGCTCCCAAGATGTAGGCTCTCTGTTCACCTCATAGATTCTTTCTTTTGCTGAGAAGAACTTTTTTAGTTCTTCTCATTTAAGTTTTAAATTGCACACCATTCTGAGTTCATCCCATTTATTGATTCAACTTTTTTGAGTTCATCCCATTTATTGATTCTTGATTTTAATTCTTGCACCACAGGAGTCTTAAATCTTTACCCCCCATACCCTAACATCTAGGGTATATAAAGAACTCAAAAAGCTAAACGCCAACAAAACAAATAACCCAATCAATAAATGGGCCAAGGACCTGAACAGACACTTCTCAGAAGATGATATACAATCAATCAACAAATACATGAAAAAATGTTCATCATCACTAGCAATTAGAGAAATGCAAATCAAAACCACTCTGATTTCATCTCATTCCAGTCAGAATGGCAGCTATTATGCACACAAACAATAAGTGTTGGTGAGGATGTACACTTGTATACACTGTTGGTACACTTGTATAAAAAGGTACACTTGTATACACTGTTGGTGGGACTGCAAATTGGTGCAGCCAATCTGGAAAGCAGTATGGAGATTTCTTGGAAAAATGGGAATGGAACCACTATTTGACCCAGCTATCCCTCTCCTCAGGCTATACCCAGAGGACTTTAAAACAGCATACTATAGGGACACAGCCACATCAATGTTTATAGCAGCACAATTCACACTAGCTAAACTGTGGAACCAACTTAGATGCCCTTCAGTAGATGAATGGATAAAAAAAAAATGTAGCGTATATACACAATGGAATATTACTCAGCAATAAAAGAGAATAAAATCATGGCATTTGCAGGTAAATGGATGGAGTTAGAGGAGATGATGCTAAGTGAAGTTAGCCAATCCCCAAAAACCAAATGCTGAATGTTTTCTTTGATGTAAGGAGGCTGATTCATAATGGGATAGGGAGAGAAAGCATGGGAGGAATAGATGAACTCTAGATAGGTAGAGGGGTGGGAGGGAAAGGGAGGGAGCATTGGGTTAGAAATGATGGTGGAATGTGATGATCATTATTATCCAAAGTACATGAATAAAGACGAATTGGTGTGAATACACTTTGTATACAACCAGATATGAAAAATTGTGCTCTATGTGTGTAATAAGAATTGTAATGCATTCTGTCATATATAAATAAAAAATAAAATTTAATAATAATAATTTTTTAAAAAGATTAGTTTGAAATAGAAGGGTTTGAATACTGTTAGAAGCCCAAASCACAAAATGGTTAGTACACTGATTAGCGACCCACTGAGTAGATTTTTTTCTAGCTTATAAAATGGAAGAAAGAGAAAAGTGGGGCAACACATAAAGGAAGGAGATGCAATTGAAATTGGTGTGAGACTCAGGTCTGTGTGGCCTGAAGGATAGATCCACCTCTGAAATCAGAGGAGCCAAACTGGCTTGGCATAATCTCAGTAAGAAAGCAAATTGCTGGTTTTACATGGGATTTAGGGGATTGCTTATTTCAGAGTTGGCATTGCCTATAAGTGCATATCATTGGAGAATCTACTATCAGTTTCTTGACTTTCAAAGCTTGAACCTGTCACTGACTGTTGGTTTTAGAAGTGTATTTCCTGAAGTGAGTTATCATTGATAAAATAGTTTAAAAGCAGATTGGATGTTTATTTTTTACTGACTATTGAGCTGCCATTGATGGATTTAAGTGACTTAAAACCAGTTCTGTTACTACTTAATATGGCTATACAACTATCAGTCTTTTCCTAGGAACACTGGGTATACCTATTAAATTCAAATGCCAGTGCAGATTTTCTGGTGAGGCAGAGGCTAAAGGACATTTCACAAATGGGAAGACATACCTGGTGCTTAAGTAGGAGCTACATCCATTCCTATAAAAACCAATCTGTGTCTGCCTCAGTAAAGTCAGTAAAGTCAGCCACATTTATGAGTAGTTTATTTCAGTTATATGAAATTGAGGAAAGGGTTGGATTGTATATTCACATCAGCTTGTTTTAGAGGAAAGTAGCAATCAGAAGCCTGGTGGGGAATGACTGACTACACAGCAATATTTACTGCCAGGCATTATTCTAGGCTCTTTAGGTAYATTAGTGAACAAAACAGAGATTCCTGCCTTCTTTTTTTCTTTTCTTTTTTTTTTTAGGGGGGGGGGTTGCTGTCCAATAATGAACAATAACATAACAAATTGTCAAAGGTGATATGTGAAAGCAGGGAAAGCCATGCTGGCCTGGCATGATTTCAGTGAGCAAGGAAAACTACTGATCTTATATTGGATTGGGGAATGGTTTGTTTTAGGATTTCCTTATCCTGGGATTAGATCATACCTATTCCTACACTTATCTCTTGGACCTTTGATTCCTATATTAGCCTGAGCCTCATTATCTCAGGTAGTCTGTGTGTTGGAGAGTACACATTTTGATGCAAAACACTGACTTAGTTGTAAGGACAGACCTTGGTACCAAGGACTATATACTAAAAGTAATGGGTAGATAACAAAAATGGTATGTACAGCCTGTATTAGTTTTCTGTGGCTATCATAACATTGTACCACAGACTGGGTGACATAAAAAACAGAAATTCTTTCCTTATTTTTCTGGAGCTGATAAGTCCAAGATTATTGTATCAGCAGGTCTGGTTTCTCCTGAGCCCTCTTTCCTTGACTTACAGGCAGGCACTTTCTTTCTTTCTTTTTTAATATATATGTTTTTTAGTTGTTACCTTTATTTTTATTTATTTACCTATAAGGTGCTGAAGATGGAACTCAGTGTCTCACAGGTGCTCAGTGAGTGCTCTGCCACTGAGCTACAGCCCCAGCCCCAGGCAGGCACTTTCTTGCTATGTCCTCACTTGGTCTCTTTTCAATACACATATGTCTCTTTGTCCAAATTCTTCTTCTTAGTAAGAGTTACATCAAAACTCTTAACACTGAGAACTCTGAATAAAAAGGGCTTATTGAACTATTACAAATGCTAGCCAGAAAGGACAGACTAGTTCTGTGACAAGTTCCCATAGCCCCCAGCAGCAAGATTAGGTAAGCMGATGGGAAAATGTCCTCTGGACTAGAATTAAGAGCATTTAAAGATTTTATTTTATTAAAATTTGGGTAAGGCAGGTCTAAGTTGTTTACATTGAACCTACATCTTAGGCGGGAGGATCATGATTACAAGAAGCAGGAAGGCTGTAGGATAGGAGGGCAAGCCAAAAGGAGAAGTTATTGTTGCTTCTGGATTGTGTGGGGTTGTGAGCAGATGCAGCAGCATCTACAGAGTCATGATTGGGTTAAGACAGTAATGTGCATTCAACAGTGCAAAAAAATCTTGAGTTCTTTAGGTCTAGCTTGTTAAGTGATTAACTTCACCCTATCTCACTTCCTTTTTCATCCTCTGGCCTTTTTTTATTAAATGTAGGGTATTTTTATTTTTATTAAATTCAGAATTTCTCTCTTATTTTAAAAGGCACCAGGCATATAGGATTAGGGCCCTCCTACAGACCTTAGTTTAAATTTGTTACTTTTTAAGCCCTTACTGTATTTCACAGCATAACCATCGCTGCTGCACTGATGCATGATAAATTTTGAAAAAAATCCCCATTTTCATGAATCATGCATCAGAATTGCTTAGAGGGCAGATTTTTAGCTGGGCACAGTGGTATAATGCCCAGAATCCCAGAAACTCTAGAGGCTAAGACAGGAGGATTGTGACTTTAAGGCCAATCTCAGCAATTTAGCAATTTGATATCCTATCCAAAAAAAAAAAAAAAGCTGGGGATATAGCTCAGTGATAGAGCACCCYTGGATATAACCCCTTAGTATGGAGGGAAAAAAACCTAAAAGATAAAAATAAAACTAAACTCTATGCCCAGAGCTTCTGACTCAGCACAGGTAGGATAAGAAAAAGCAGAGAAGCAGAACTAATGGGATGTGTTTGTATATATAAATAGAATCATTTTATGAAATTGGTCTAAGCAGTTATGGCAACTAACAGGTTAAAATCTGCAGTATGAATAAACGAACTATATTGGCAGAATGTTCTCTTGCTCTGGAGAGGCCATTCTTTTGTTCTATAAACCTTCAGCTGATTGTGTGAGACCTGCCTACATTAGGGAGAGCAGTCTTCTTTACCTATAAAGTTCAGTGCTTTAATTGTTAATCTTATCCCCTCATAGAAACATCCAGAATAATGTTTGACCACTTATCTGGGCACCATGACTCGTAACATTAACCATCATTCCAAGTAATGCTGTTGTCCTGAGCACTCATTAAATTGAGACTGATCATTTGAGGTAGATGGATATTGGGATGTTGGCAGGTCAGCTGCCATGGATGTTTCTCCTTCATGACTCCAATCCAAAATTGTACTGAGAAGTACTTCCCCCAGATGTAGGCTTTTCCATTAATCATTGTTCTTAAGATACTCTTTCTGTCTATAGAAAGCTACAGATTACATGATTGGACAGTTTCTGTTGTACCTATTAAATTTAAAATTTTATATAGAGAACAGAAACAGACTGATATTCTTTATAAAAGGATGCAGTCTTATCTGGCCACTTTGACTCATTGCTGTCAAAAATAGATTTTGAGAGAAATTACAATAAAAATTCTCTCATTCTCTGAGATATATACATGATTTTCTTTCACTTTTTAAATCACAGTTGATTGATTTATTAAATGAAGAGAACTGTGTAGTGAAATATTTTGTAATAATCTGTAATTTTGTAATCTTTCCTTTCATCATTATATTGACCTCTTTTTGTATATGGTACTGAGATTCATTTATCTAGAGTGAGTCCTTATGAGAAATATGTTCTAATTGGTAGTTCATTTGCACATTTTTCTTTTATTTCAGAGTTGATGTCTTTTCAGAAAGAATTACTTCATCCCTTCCATSTGAAGAAAATGAAGGTAGCTTTGGAGACAAAATTTTATCAGAGGAGGAAATAATATGGGCAGGTTCCAATGAAAGTAAATATCAAGTAAGTCACTTTTGTGAAAGTCACATGCCATCTTCAGTTGGGACCAGCTCACCTTTGTCAATCTTTTGTTCAAAAGTAAAGGAAATTTTTCTTAGTGATAGAGAGCATCCAGAAAATGAATATGAAGCAGTACAATTTTCCTCAAAGAAATTATTTTCAATAATGAAAACCAACAAAAATAAAAACGTAAGGTTTTCTTCTGATCATAGGCTTTCAAAAACTTGTATATTCACTGTAGAAAATGAAGATCTCAATATGGCACCATGCCCTCCTGCCCTTTTATTTCTTTCTAGAGACCAAGTTAAACTTTTGGAAGAAAATGTGAGAAATCAAATTCCTTTAAAACAGAGAGCATTAGAAATTATAAGTAATTATCTGTATTCCCGACCTCAAGAGTCATTGATTCAGGATCAACATTCTGTTGAGATTGTTATTTCTGCCCAAGCACAAGACTTTGTTCCAGAACAAAATGCTATGCAGAATCAAGAGTTTTATGAAACACAATTTATTAATCAAGCCCAACAATTTGTTCCTATCCAAGAATCAGTCAACAGCCAGTCTGATATCAGGGCTAGCTATTTTGCTCAGGCTCAAGATTTGATGAAGAAACCATTTTACAGCAGCACACAAGACTTCTTCCAGGCCCAAGATACAGATAGGAGCCCATATTATACCGGAGCCCCATATTGTGTTGAGGCACAAGATTCAATCAAGGGCCTAGAATTTGATGAATACTTAGATGAGGCCCAATATTCTGTTTGGTTTGAAGATTCCAACAAGATTAAAAATTCAATCAACGTGCAAGAAAGTGTTTGTAAGAATGCTGAATTTCTAGTTTTAACTGTTAGTCCACAGTCAATTGCTGAAGATATGTCACAACTACAGATAGCAAAGCCAAAAGACCAGCAACAAGTTGCTTTATCAGAAATAAACCAGTATTCTATATGTAGCCCAATGCTCCTTCCACCTACTGTTGAAGGGCAGAAAAACAAAAGAAAAGCACCAAATCGTAAAAGCAAACTCAGTCTTAAAGTTCCATCTCTAAAAGCAAAGAAAACTCCTTCACACGAATCAAAATTCATAATATGTCACGCTTCAAAAAACAGGAATGAGTTAGAATGTGAGAGTAACACTGTCAAGAAAGAATTACAGCAAAGAAAAGATGTATCAGATATAACTTCGCATCTTATTTCTATCTCCAGGCTTAGTACTCCTCACATTAACAAATATTGCCGAAAAAAACTAGTGACAGGCATGCCATGCTTACAAAAATGTGGATATTTTCTGCAAAAGCAAAATAAGTCACCAGATAAAAAGAAAATCAAGTACGCGGATTCTATTAAGAGAGAAAACCCAGGTATCATTAAAAATGTAAAACTGTATGACAAAGAAAATATAGGACTAAAAAACATTTCACCCAAAATGTTACCTGAGCTAGAACAATCTTCCACAGTCAGCACTGAAGAAGTAAAGGCATCTTGCACATTATTAGAAGCAAACCAGAAGAGTACAGAGTCTCCTAAAGACCTTAAGCAAACACTTGACCCACACATTCCAAACCATGATATGCCTTCAGAAGAAACAACAGGGGAACCTGTGCAGAAACTTGTTTCATCTCCTAAGATGAAATCAAATGGAGGCATGAAAGTACAGGATGATCTACCAAGTAAGGAGGAGTCCCGTCTACCACTTTCAAATGGAGAGGAGTTTGCAGCCACTACACTAAATATGCAGAGGTGTTTTCCACAGGAAAATACACAGCAACAAAAAGATTTTCTGGAAGTTGTTCTAGAAATGTCAGATGTCAATTTATTCATTTCCCTAGGAACCAAAAAGTATATWAGCAGTGAAGACTCAGAAGGCATAAAAAGTCCAGTGAGTACAAAAAGTGTCAATGTGAAGCAAAAGAAACCTTTAAGACTTAATATTTCAGAAAATGGTAACCTGAGTGAAAGTGAGGAATTGGAATGCAACACTGGCAGCTTCATAAGAAATATGCATCAAGATGAAAGGACATCTGATGCATTTGATAATGCCACTTACACTACCATTCCTGAACCAACCAATGTGGAAATGCACGGAAGATTAAAAGCCAAGACAGATACATCAAAAATAATAATAAAGGGAAGTCATTCAGCATCAAAGCAAGAAAAATTGCCAGATGCAAAGAGAACAAAGAAGGCAAAATACATTCRAAGCTCTGCTTCTAAAAAGCCACAACAATATGATTGTGAACAAGGGGACAAAGAGGAACAAGCAGTAGCTCCTCAGCTGACCCCAGACTTCAGGTTCAGCCTACAGCTGAAGCAAAAGCCCAAATATGTCAAATTTGAAATGGAACAAATCTGTTCAGGAAATAGAAAATCTCAAAATGAAGAGCAAGAAATAACATCACAAACTCTTTCTAATCAAACTATTCTGGAGACGAATCCATGCCCCATGATGGATTCATTTCAAGTTGAGAAACTGAAGCAAAGCACAGACAGATCTGCAGGCAAAGAAAGTGCTATGGATCATATGAATCTTATCATTCCAAAGAACTTGCCATCTGGTGAATATTTAATTGAAACAATGGCATGTTGGGTCCCCTTTGGTGGAAACCCCAGAAAGACAATGCATGGTCATATTACAGAGGAAAAGGAACACTTAAAAAGAGATTTACCTGCAGTTGCTATGAAGTCTTCTCAAATCAGAAAAGTACTGTCAAGAACAAAAAATATACTCAATGCCAGGCATGCAATTATGAAGGTAAAGAAGTTAGAAAATTCATTAATGCTTTGTACCAAGAGACATGATGCTCCAAGCCATAGGAAAAAAATGGGAGACSGTTTTAAAGTTAAGAAGATGCTGCAAGACAAAATTTTGGCAGACGCACTCCTGGATGTCTACCCTCACTTGTCTATTTTGCCTAATGCTAGAATGGATTGCAGATTAAATGCAGAGAAAATCACTCATATCAGTCTCATACAAGAGAGATCCCATGTTAATAAGGAAAATGAATCTCAAAACACACTAAAAGCTAACTTGCAAGATGAAGTGAATGAGGTCAGAGACCATCTACCAAAAGCAGTCCCTTATGCACATACAATGGAGGAGAGTAAAGCAGAGAAAAAAATGCATCAACCAGTCCCATTTACTGAAACCATGAAGGAGTCTGTTGAGTCCCTTAGAATGGCTCCACCTCACACTGAAAATTTGAAGAGAAGCCTAGCAACACAGACTGACTTCCAGTGCACAGCAGGCTTGGAGATATCTCCTCCAATATCAGAAAAATCACTAAGGGGAGACCCTTTTGATCAAACAAAAGAAAAKAATGTTCCAGGTATTAGGAGTGATACAAGGGAAATGGATCACCATTTTGCAGGAGAAAAAGCAGAATTACCAAAAGATTTACAAGAAACTTCCCCAGAAACTTTTATTTGCTGCATGCCTGTGCGGTCTGGCTCTAAAAGGAAGAAAAACAGAGTAAGATTTGCAAACGTGACAAATACAGTGAAATTCAAATGCATGAAAATGAAGCCACCAGTCTCACAAATTTCCAGTATCACCAGCCRTAGAGAGAAATTGGACTTTAAAAACAAGGTTAAAATGGTAAACCCAATTAAAGACTTGGTACCCGAATGTCTAAACGCCCTCTACTCTCCCATATATGGAACACTGCCAGGAGAGTACTCTCAAGCTCACATGAAGCAAGGAGAACTGACAAGTAAAAAGTATATTGATGTCTTTGCTAAGAGTAGTGAAGTCCATGAGACAGAGGTTTTCCAAGAAGAGGAGGAACAAAAAGCTTCCCTAGAAGTAGCTCCACAGGAGAGCCAGCACCTGTGGTCTGATGCCTGTCAAATAAAGAAAACCCACCTTGATGAACCAAAGCTACCACTGATCTGCTTAACACAGGAGCTACCTATTATTGGGCAAGGTGTGCAGCACCAAGCAGTTTTCCCACAAACTACTTTGGAGGCTAGTCTCAAAAAAGATCCCACAGAAGTTGAATTGTGGAAACCCAACCAAATGCAAAATGACACAGAAGTCCCTATGGGTCCTAAGATTCCACCTCTCCAAGCGGGAAACTCATCATGTGATGAATTTAACACAGTGATAAACTGTGGCTTGCCATCTGGTGGAAACACTAACAGGGAACTAGATTCATATTTTATGCAAAAAAATTCAGAGGTGCCAATGGATATGCAAGTGACAGTCCTGCAGTCTTCTGATTCTGTTATATTACCCTGTGTTTCTAAATTTAAAAGGCAGAAAAAGACATTAAGATTAGCAAGGAGGCAAAGACCAGAGAGTCGCAGACTTAGAACTATGAGGGAAATAAAGCCATCAATCTTAAATACGCTTAATAGCAGATATAGCAAGGAACTGCAGAGCAATATTAAAATGAAGATGAAAGGCCCACAGCAAAGAAAAAATGCAGCAGATACATTTTGGGACATCATTCTCTCCGAGGTGACCATTTTGCCCAACATCAAAATGAGAAGTTTAACTGTGGGGAGAATAAATGTGCGAAGAATAGCAAGATTTGGTTATATGCAGTTAATGCAAGAGAAATCACTAGGTGGAAGAAAAGTGTATTGCCTAGATTCTACTTATATGAGTAGTTTCTCTAACAGATTAAAATGTGGAAAGGAGAGGGAAGGGGAACCTAAAGCTTTACAGCTTCCAGGGAGTAGACATGGCTTCATATTCAGCACACATCAGAAGAGAGATCATGGCCTTGTTGAATTTGGTGAGAAATTGTATCAACCAGGAAGTACAAATACACAGGTACAACCACAGACACATCCTGCACCAACTATCTGGCGTTCTATTTCATGCCCCATGCTAGATCAATTTCAATCTGAAAAGCTGGAGACTTGGGTTAGGTTTTCACCTCCAAAATCTAGGGATGCAAAGGTTGTTTCTGCAAAAAAAGGTGGAGCCCCATCTGATGTAAGCTGTCACAAGGAACAGGCTGATAGTAATGAAAATAAAGGAACAGTGGCCGTTCTTTTCTGCACACCAGCTTTATCTACATATGAAAGGAAGAGAAACTTCAAACAATTTTCAGACATGAAAACTAAAGTGAATCCCAAATATGGAACTAGGAAGGCAAAGAAATTACCAGTTTCAGACATGCTCAATATCAAGGGTAGTACTAGTCCAAACTGTAGGAAAAAATCAGTACGGAACTTAACTAAAATGAAAGACATGTATCAAAATAAAGAAGTAGCAGATAAAATGTACTCTTCAGCAACTATTACATCTGATATTAATATGTACAACAAAATAGAAAGAAGAAAAGGCACAAGAGAAAAACAACTCMGTTCTACAAAAGTAAAGCAAAGGAATGTTAATTCAGATGACATCAAAGAAACCAAGCTTCAAGATCAAGAGAAAGAAAAAAGTAAACAGGAAGCATTGTTAAAAGTAATTCCACAATACAGTCAACATTTTGTATTCTWTTCAGGCCAGAGGAAGGATCATGACCATTATAAGTCAAAAAACCAAGGAAGCAGGAAAATTCTGATTGTTACAGAACAAGATGTCCCACAGCAGATTCAACCCACAGATCCAGGGCAAGGACAGAACCTGAAGAAAGACCTCCAGACTCAAAATGGCATGATATATACAAGTTTAAAGATTCCTTTTCTAAACTCAGAGGAATCATCAGTTGGTGAAGATATAATTGGCACAGAAAAATATGGCATCCCAGTTGACGGGAAGCATGTGAGGGAACCGCACAGCCAAGGTAAAGAGGAAAAAGCAGGGTTTAAAGATGATCTACAGGCAGCAGCTATACTGGAATCTTCCAGACTCTCCACAATTGATCTACCTGAATCCAAAAGGCAGAGAAAGACATTTACATCTAGAGTCATAAAAAGAAAAATGAGTCCCACATGGATAATTAYGAAGGCAAAAAAAATACCAGTTTCGAAGATCTTTAATATTCCACAGAGTGGTTGTCGAAAAAATTTTTTATCTCCAAAGACCCTAATGACACAGATTGTTGAATTTTTATCATGCTGTAGCAGCATCATATCTTCTGGGTTTCATATGGTCATACTGGAAGATCCAATAGTAGAGAAAAAGAAAATATCAGCACAGGAAAYACCAGCAATGATTTTGGAGTGTTTGGATTCCTCCACACTTGCTTTACCTGTATCTAAAAGAGAGAGAAGCAACTTAATGCTAATGAAAAGGAGACATAAGATGAGACCAAAATGCACCACTTTGAAGGCAAAGAAGACACCACTCTCCCAGACATTTAATATCACAGGACGACGTCACACACCAAGTCAAAGAAGGCAGTTCAACTCTGAAACAACAACTAAACAAGGTAAACCTGTGGCAGATATATTCCTAAATGCCATTGGCTTTCTCATGCCTGTGCTGCTTGACACAAAAGTATGTGACAGAGTGGAAGAGACCAAGAGGCTAGAGAATACACAGAGTAGCAATGGGCTACAACAGCAAGAGCAGTCAGCACTCAACGAGACAGAACCATATGCACATCCGGGTGACGAGGACACGAGCCCTAATGGCACTAAAGATATAATAGATCAAGGTGGAGAGACAGCCCTGCGGGTGTCCCAACACTTCAGCTTCAGTGCTCATGGAATAAAGGCAACTAACTTTAAATCAGATCTAGAACTGAAGACTTCAGCAAGCAACAAAATCCCAGACGTCCTTTCTACACCTCTAGAGCTGCAGCATCAAATAGTTGCTGAACAAAGTAGATTAAATTCTATTGCAAATACATTTTCATTTGAGAAGCTACCAAAAAGAACAAAATCACAAAAAGACTTAAAAGATATATGGAGTGGAAAGATTTCATCTCCAATGGCAGAAAAATCAGTTAGTGAACTTTTAATAGATACAACAAATGGTCATATCCCATTTGAAAGAGGCACTGGGAAGGAATTTACTAGTCTTACTGCAGAGGGAAAGGAGTGTTTGCAAAAGGACTTACAAGATAGAACTCTAGAGCCTTTTGATTTTTCCATGCCTACTTCGTTTGAATTTAAAGGGCAAAGAAATGCAGTACAAATTGCTAAATCCATAACTGGGAAAACACAGATGCCATTAATTTTTGAGAGAAGTAATATCCMTAGATATTGTGCCCTTAGTTGTAGAAAGAAAAGGAAATTCATCTTGAAAAACATGACCAAAGAAACATGTCAARATATATCAAATAAATTTATGAATACCTTTTTTCCCACACTTGTTTCACCTGGCATCAAAATGCATAAAAAAGCTGAATCAACAAGAAGCCCATTAAGAAAAACAAGCAATGTTACACAGTTAAAGCAAGATGAACTGAAAAGATTATATATAGATCCCTCTAATAAATGGACTGTGTCAAGCAACACATTAGAAACAAGATGGCAAAACGAAGAAGAAAGAAAGGGCAAAGAAGTTTTACTTGAAGCAAATCCACAATTCCTGAAGAGTGCAGAAAATAGAAAAGGCCAAAGTCTGCTTATTCCAGAGCAAGATATACAGCAAAAAACAGTTTCAGAAAATACTCTAGAGGTTTTTTGTTCTCCTCCAGTGACTTCATTTCGAATTAAAAATCTACAGAACATTCCACTTCAAAAAAACATACTACATCAAATAGGTGAAAAGTTTCCATGTCCAAAATCAGAGAGGGCAATATTTGATGAACTTTTAATTGATGAAATAGAATATAATACAATATCTAATGGGGATCCTATAAGKATGCTAGATGTTCACAGTGCAGTTTCCCCACAATGTGAGGAAAGAAAGGAAAATGTAAGTGCGCCAAAAGTTATAAAATACACAGTTGATCAAAATATCCTACCTATCAACTCAGGGAGCTTAGTGTTTGGCAATCCATGGGATACAAATTCTTTAAAGAAACTGGGTAGTCATATTGCTAAGAAAGATGATGAGGTGCAAAGAGATTTCCTAACATTGGGAATGGTGTCTTCTTTATCTGATGCCAGAAGGCAGAGAGATGTATTGAAATTTCCAGAAAGTCAAGCTCTCATGAGTCCCAAACGTGTAGCTATGAAGGCAAAGAAGCCTGTTTGTTCACAAATGATGAATGYCATCAAGCATGGCAATCTGTACCACAGGGGGAAAGAGGAATGCAATGTAAAATCTTTGCTAAAAGACAACCAACAAAATGAAAGTAGAGCTCACACATTTTTGTTTCCTTTACCTGTCTCAGCTGGTACCAAAGTAGACAGTGAAGTACATAGGTCTTCAAAAACTGAGATGGATGAACCAAGAGTAAAAATATACCATCAAACCCATCCAGAGTTAGAGAAGTTGCCACATGAAGACACACAAAAAAACAGTTTGACTGGTTTGCAAAACAGACCTAGTGATGCAGTGAAAATGAATGTGCTACACGCAGAGACACAGGAGGATATCTCAGATGTGCCATCAGGGTCTGGTCCACACTGCAGCCAGCACTTGAGCTTCAGTGTATATCAAATGGAAGCCCTTGGTTCTCACAAATCAGAGTCTGATCTGAAGAGGTCAGAAGGCAGAAGGACTCAGAATTTGTCCTATATAGCACAAGAAACACACCTTCAAGAAGAAGATGTGTTTAAGAGAAGCCACCGGTTTCAAGAAACTATTTTGGAGCCTATTTCTGGACACATGATAAATTTTCAAGTTGAAACAATGCAAAGAAGTCCTCATATGCAGGAAGAAGTAAAAATTATGGCAGGTCTAAAGACATCATCTCCAAATGCAGAGGAATTGGAGATCATTTCAACAGTGTCTGATTTGCCCTGGGATGGAAATGCTAGACAGAAATATGATTATCCAGTTTCTKGGGAAAAGGCATACAATCACAAAGACTTATTAAGAACATCTTTAAAACCTTTAGATTTCTCCATCTTTGTATCTTATGAATCTAAAAGTGAGACCTACACATTAGATTTTGTAAGCAAAAAAAGTATACTGAGTCCTAAGCATATAACTTTGAAGGCAAAACAACCACCAATTTCAAAACTGCTTAATATCTCAAGGTATCCCATAGGAGGCCATCGAAAGAAAAAGAACAACATAAAGCACAAGCTGAGAGAGGTGCAGTGGTATGCTAGTGTCAGAAAAGTATTACTTGAGGCCTCTGAAGATGCTAAGAGTCTTCCCCTCAAATTAATGATTGATAAGCTCTCATTGGATACAACTGTGAGGGGCATCCAATCCAACAGAACATTTCAAAAAACTGTGGTAGGTCATATTCCAGAGGAAAAGGCAGAGTTAGAAGAAAATGTAACCAAAACTTTGTTGGGGCCTTCTGATTTTTTCATGCCTGGTTTCTTTGACTCTAAAAGCCAGGCAAGCACAGTACAATTGTCAGAAAATGAAACTATATTGAATCCCAGGTGTTTGGCTACAGAGGAGGAGAAGCCACCAGTTTCACAGATACTTAAAATCAGTAGACACTTTGGCACAAAACATAGCAAGAAATTTAAATCTAGTTTAAGAACCAGCATGAAAACAATGTGGCAAGGTAGAAGCATGACTGGCACATTTCCAAATACCCGTTGCTTTGCACCAAATACCTCTGGCATTAGAAAGCAATGTAAGTTAGAAATAGAGGCAGACATGACAGTACCAAGGTTCAGTCATACACAGCTAACACAGCAGTCACCAGCTGGAGGCCTGTCACATTCCAATTCCATTGACCAGAGCAGTGCCTCCTGCTTTTTAAGGGAAACAGAATTACATGATGGAGAATGTGGGAAAGAGAAAAGAGAACCTCCAATAAAAACTGATTTATTCTACATAAAAAGCTTAACAATAAATGCACATCCCATAAAAGTACCCGATCCTGGCAAATCAGAAGTCATTCTTCTAGGAAAATCTTTTTTCCCCAAAAAGCAGGTGTATGAAGGGGATCCAGGAAAAAATGTCAAAGTAGAAAACATAGAAAATGTGCAAGCAAGTTTGGGAGTTGGACACTCCAAGATGGAGAAACCACATATTTTTGCAGATTTAGGTGAACCAAAAGATGATGTTGTATTTAGTCAATATGATCAAAAGGGAATTGACCAATCTGTTTTAAAAGAAAAAGCTCCATACCATTTGGCTGGAACCATAGATTCTGTTGGCAGGCATTTAACTGTGTCAGAAGGAATTGAAAGACAGACTGACAATGTAAACATAGTTATCACAAGTCCAAAAGGCATAATTTCAAAGGTAAAGCGATTGGCAGTTTCACAACCACTTAATCATGCAGGTCATGCTGCTCTAAGCATTACTGAGAAACCAAAGTGGAATTTTGAAACCCAAAAGATAAAAGTAGAGAGACAAGAGGCTGTACCAAGTACTGAAGTAAAATCTGTATATGCCTCTATGCCAATGCTATGCTGTATGAAAATGGAACAATCACCTAGTACCAGGGATACACAGGAAAAATCTTTGAAGGAAAATGCTCCTAATAAAGCAGAAGTTAGGGAGAAAGAGGAGTATGGAGAACAGATTTTGTCTAGAGCAGCTCCACAGGATATCCAGCCAGTTGAGTTTGGAGCAGATCAATTGAGAGAGCCTGATCCTTTCAGCTCAGAAGCACCTTCAATCAATAGAGTGTGCCCCAAGATGATCACTTCTCAGAAAACAGAAATTTATTTAATAGATCAAGAAGCAGAGAGAAAACCTGTGGAGTTGCTTAGTCCAGAGTCGGTTTCTTTCTCTAATGTAAATCCTCTTCAAATTGAAAACCAGAAGAAAAAATCCAAGACTGCAAATGGTGAAACGGTAACAAATCTCAAGACATTTGCCCTGCAAGAGAAACAGCAAGAGCCCAAAGAAAAATTTAGGGAAAAAGAGGAATATGAACAACAGATTTTGTCTAGAGCAGCTCYGCAGGATATCCAGCCAGTTGAATTTGGAGCAGATCAATTGAGARAGCMTGATCCTTTCRGCTCAGAAGCACCTTCAATCAATASAGTRTGCCCCAAGAWGATCACTYCTCARAAAAYAGAAATTTATTTAATAGATCAAGAAGCAGAGAGAAAACCTGTGGAGTTGCTTAGTCCAGAGTCGGTTTCTTTCTCTAATGTAAATCCTCTTCAAATTGAAATCCAGAAGAAAGAATTCCAGACTGCAAACAGTGAAAAAATTACAAATCCTGAAACCTTTGCCCTGCAAGAGAGACAGCAAGAGCCTGGTATCTCAGGAAATATCTCAAGTTCTCCTTATGTCTTCATACCCATGTATCCTAAAATTGTGAGACACAATTGTACAGTGGAAACAGCATATGTGAAAAATGCTAGACATACCAAACAGGTAAGACTGAAGGCAAAGAAAACACGAGTTTCCTGGATGCYTGGATGTGGTTCAAGAAACAATAAGGAGGAGCAGGGAGGGAACATTCAGCAGRAGAAAGCTTTCCAGTTGAGTAAAGCTGCAACAAACCCACTTCTGAAAGCTGCTTTTGACTCTCGATCCCCTGTGCCTTCCAATAAAAAGCCTATAGAAATAAAAATGAAGAAAGACGAGTTGAAGAAGGGGGTAAACATTTTTTCACAGCTAACACCAGAGAAACCACTAAACGACAGGCAGATATCATTGTCAGAATGTGTTGACATGGCCGGCATCATTGAAAAACCAGAAGAGAATATTAGAAAAGAACAAACCCACCAACGCACTTTAGTAGACATGCCCCAACAATACCTACAACAATTACCGATTAGGTCAGAAGAAATGAAAAGGCATCCTCATGTCAAATTAGAATATTTGGAAAGAAAGGTGTGTCTTGAGCCCATTTCACAGAAAGATGAAACTGATTACATTGGACTTGACCATGACAAATTAAAAGTTGATTTGGAAAAAGAAATACACCCTGTTATATTTTCACAGAAGAGAGAAATTAGKGGTGGTAGGCTCAGAAAACCAATAACAGATACAGAACTTGATTTCTTCACTGCACAAGGAGAGAAACAAAGAACTGCAGATGGTGCTGAACATTCAGTTTCAGTTCCACCCAGGAAAGAAAGAGCAAAGAAAACAGATATTTCATTAAGTTCAAAAGGACAGAATATATTCACTTATAAAAAGCCAGAATCACGGAAACAAGAAAGTACTTTCCTGGTAGACATGGAATCTGATTCCTATCCCATTAGAGAAMCTCTTCATTTAGAAAACACAGGACAGGTAGCTAAGGAAGATATGCATGTTAACAGAAAAAATATTTCACATCTACTGGGAAGAAAAGAATTACAGGAAACAGATATCTTAATAGATTCCAAAGGACAGAAATTTCTTTATTCAAAGCTAAAGGATCCACTCAAAATTTGTGCAGAGCAGAGAAGACATGTGAAACCAAGTCATACACCTGAAAGTATGGATTCTGCATCTTGCCTCAGTAAGGACCCTCTTCGTTTAAAACAGGCAGTAAATACAAGGAAAGAAAATGGTAGGCTCTCTCGAAGTTTCAGTGTAAATCAACGGGGAAAAGAACAAACAGAATTAACTGATAATCTATTAAAATTAAATAGACAGAAAGTGGACTTTTCAAAAAAATTGAGGGCAAGGCAACTGACTACTTATAACCAGCACAAAGACAAAATTCTAGAATCTATTTTCTCTCACACATTACATCATCTTCATATTGAAAATGCAAAGAAACAAACCTCAGCAAAAGCAATACTAAAGTCAGAAGTCTTGAAAAAAGCATCAGATGAAGTGAGTGTTCTGGAAGATCAACCTCCATGTACAGAAGGAATTAATCTGCCTATTACAGGAACAGAAGAACATCTACGAGACAGTATATGCACGGTTTTTCCAACATTTGTTACTCATCCTCTGATGGGTACATATCAGTTTAATTTGCAGGTAAAGAGAACATTAAATGCAAGAGATAATCCATGCTATCAGACTTTGACTACAGAAAGAAAACAGCAAAAGAAAAAAAGTATGTATAAGGCTCTTCCACAGTCCACATCTGAAAATGATAGTCCAGTGCTAGATGCTGTAAATATCATGCATTGTGACTCTTCAGCTTCACAGACATTAAAGCAAATGGATGTTACAAATGGATATACTCAAAAAGGGAAAGAAGCACCAAAACAGCAGCACCTATCAATTTCCTATGAGAACTTGAAGGAGCGAATGTTTTACCCTCAAAAGTATCCCTGTGTCTGGCCACATTCAATTCCTCTAACAAAGGAGGTATTAGCAGAAGTGGGTAGTGCATTAAGCAGGGTAGAAGGACAAAATCTGTTTTCTACAGATCAACCAAGCACTGCATATAAGYGTGGACTAGAACAGAGTGTGTCTCCAATTACTCCAAGGGACATGAGAAAACAAGACAAAATGCCTGTAGAACAAAGCACAGAAGCTAAGAAACACATGACTCGTTTATTTTCAGAAAAAAAGCAATCATCATATGGGGCACCAGTAACAGAGACAATATCAAATGGAAGTTCATCCAAACTAAGAGTTGGAATGAAGGTAAAATCACATAGGGGAATTCCAGGAAAGGTGCATCTACCTAGAATACTATTACATTCTCTGTCTGTATGTATGTCTGTTTTGCGTGAAAGTCAAAGACAGAAGGATAGCCTAAAACAAGGTGTTATGAAAGACATAATATGCCCCAAAAGAAAAGCCCTAGAGTTGAAGAATCTCTCCAGTGTCACTCACTCTGATACCCCAAGCAACAGAGTAGAAGGGCAGTGGAATGTAAAAGAGAAAACAGTAAGTACAAGACCCAGAAAGGGTGATCCAGATTTGGATGTGAAAAAAACATATCAGCCCATCCTTTCTTTACCTCACTTCAAATTGGATAATGAAAAACTCGATGGGACTACTTCAAATGTAAAAAGAAGAAAACAACATATATCACAGGAAGAGAAGGACAGAGTGAAAGCACTGGAAATGGAAGAAAAAATGAACCCATACTTCAYAATGAAGTCAGAGAAATCACTGTCACATATGCTCAACAGAAAGGACTTGCCACTGTTGAAAATTATAAAACCAGAAAGCAGGGTACAAGAAGATAAAGGTAAATTAGACGTAGATCTAAGACTCTCCTATGTTTCTTTACCATCTCTGTCACATTCTAATTTGAATCCTAGGATAAAAGTAAGAAAAGATAAATCAAGAATACCAAAGGACTGCCTTCCACCACTAAAGCCCCAGGCATCCTTAAATATCAGAAGAATATCATATTTAGAGTCAACAACTCGATATCGCTTCAATAACATAATGGAATCAAAATGTTTGCTACAGAAGAAAAGGAGAGGTAGAGGAAATATAGTAGATCTGAAAGATATAATTGGTCTCATATATATCATTCTGAAGGGAAAGAATTCACCTTTTAAACACTTAGTGAATAGGAAGGAATTACAGTGGTCCAACAAAAAAACAAAGAAAATTATGCAGGAGGATAAACAAAATCAAGACATAATTCAGAATGAACTCTGGGATTCCATTCCTCCACCTCACCCAGAATGGGATCCTACAATAAAAGATCTATACATGCAAGGAATCATAAGGTTCTGTCTTCCATTATTGACACTCCAGGAATTGTCAGATGGAACGGAACTATATAAGGAGCCAATTGATGATGTCTTAAGCAGTATAAAAAGAGCAAAATACATGCAAAATATATATCCTACCCCCAACAGTGTAAAAAATGCTGTAGTAGTTACAATGCAGAAAGAAGAGGAAAGTGTAAAAATGGAAAAAGTAATGCTTTTGAAAGAAAGAAAATCATTGGCAATTTCACGGGAAATTCAGYTAGACATCAAAGAGCAAGATAAAAATCTGCAAAAAGTTAAAGATGAATCAAATGAGATTTTGACCAGTACTGATACATACATACCGCCTCCTCATTTAAAATTGGATATGAGGAGAAGAAAAACAGACTATGGAACTGAGGTGAGAAGATATTTTCTTCCAGAACTATCCTACCAGAAATCATCARATGCAGTGAGAAAACCAAGCAAAGAGTCCATTGAGGGTGATATCACAAGTGGTACACAAAAATTAAAAGAATTTATGCCACAGACAGAAAAGGATGATGTAAAGAAATTAGCTGAGAAAGACACAATGTATCCAAAAGCCAAAGGTTTGGAAGGAAATGGAGCACTTTCACAAGACCTACCACCAAATCCTAAAGAGCAAGGGAAAACTGATCCAGAAGGCAAAAGACAAGGTAAACTCCACAAAGGTCGTCAGGAACAGGGGAAAGCAGTTGCAGCAGGTAAAGCCCAGGACAAATGGGATCAAGAAGGCAAAGGTCAAGGGGAAGTGAATCAAAACAATAGAAAGCAAGGAAAAATAGACCAAGAAAGTGAAAGTGAGCAGGAAATGGTTCCCCATGTACATATGCCTTCCGAACCTCCTCTGATTTATCATAAGGCAGGAAAAGAAGATACACACAAAATAACAAGATCTGCTACTTCACCATTACAGGACCAAAAATTATTTGACAGAAGGCAGATGATGCATACAAAATCAACTGGGGAGGAGAAATCACATGATGTAAAACCCATACAAAAATACAAGGCCCAGAAAGAKATGGAGAGAAAAAACACAGTAAATATGAAACATAGMGTACATCCTGAGGATGTGACTTTCAAAGCAGATCAATTATCACTTCCACATGAACCCAGTATCACTGGCCATGGTGACCCAAAAACTAGAGAACAGACAAACGTAAATGAAAAATTGGGACGTGTACAGGAAAGAAAACATGAAYTAGATGAGGTACTTCCTTTACCTCACTGTAAATCAAACAAAGGAATAGAAGTCATGGAACAAAAACAAAAAGTATCAAGGTCCTTTCTTCCCCCTTTATACCACATGGAATCTATAGTTGTTGGGAAATTGTATTATAAAGTGTCACCTTTGAAAGACATCTCAAGTGATTCAAGAAGAACAAAATGCATGACACATGGAGAAGAGGATAAAGAAAATGTTTTAAAGAAAAATATAATGTATCCCAAGGACACATCTGGGAAGGCAAAGGAATCACTCCTTGATGATATATTGAAAATAAAGAAACTGCAAGTGAACATCACACAGCAGAACAAACAGAGACGGGAAGGAAATGAGGATATAAATGTTCTTCTCAACCAAACTTATTCTTTTATCACTTCTTCACCTCTCTTTGAATTAGACACAATAAAAGAAGAAGATGAACCAAGAAAAATAAAAAGTTATGAACCACATCCTATGCTGCATGTATCATTTCCTTCAGGACAAATAAGACTTACAGAGTCCATTTCTAGCTGTGCAAAGAAACARAGCCATGCAAAGCCAAGAAAACAGTGTTTATCACAGGAGGAAGGCAGAATACAACCCTCAGCCACAAGGGGCTTGATAGGCCCCAGTGGCACAGCTTTCCAGGCAAAGRCCTCAGCGTCTTCTCATGTGGTCAATATCTGTGAGCACAGTGCTCTGCGCAACACTCAGGAACCGCAGGGGGGCATTAGAGGAAAAGTAGGACTGAAGCAAGAAAAAACAAGAGATCCTAATGTGGTTCAGGCAGAAATATGTCCTTCCATACCATCTCCCTCTCACCACAGAGGTGCTTCTTCACAAGCAAAGCTTCCTCAGTTATTAGATATAGGGAGAATTGGACATGCTGGTTTACRTGAAGGTGTTAACTCACGTAATATAACATTAGGAGCAAAGGGGCGTGTGCCGTGCAGAGAGGTAAGGGACAAAGTGAAAATAAAAGGCACAGAAAGTAGTATAATAAGTGTGAGAACAGAGGCATCCCCGCATCCACATCTATACGATAGAAGGAAACTACCTTTGAATATTAAAAAAGAAAGGAAAGGAGAGCAAGAAGGCAAAAGGGAACCAGGAGTGGTTCTGAGGAAAAGCTCTTTACCTTTTCCATCTTACCTGGAGCTGGACACTAGAATGAAAAAACAGGAAAGAACCCTTGGAAGAACACAGTTCTCTTTTCCACCATTAACGACTCAAGATGCATCAGATTCAGATAAAAAATCATGTACTGAGTCATTGGATAGTTACATGTTGAACACCATTAAAGAATCAGTACAGTCCATAGCACAGCAAGAAGAAAAAGATAGATTCAAARTAGACATAAAAGACATCAAACTCCCCAAATATGTGATGGTACAGAAATCATCACTTTCATATTCACTCAATAATAATGCACTGCCATGGAAAACCAAGGAACAAAAGGAAAAAATGCAGGAATATAAAACTAAACTACTGGTGGGTCTGGCAAACAGAATTATAAAATCATCTCTCTCACTTCGGCAGTTCAAGGAGTCAAGTTCAGGGAGACTAGCATGTCCAGAAACARTTGGTGGAAAACTTTCAAATGAGGTAGAAGAATTAAAAGAACACATGCTACAGAAAGAAAATGAAGGAGAAAAAGTTGTGGGTATGAATGTCATAGTGGATCCTAAGGACACTTGTTTGAAGACAAAGAAATCATGTATTTTACATACACAATTAGGTGACCTTCAAGGGAAATCTAGAAAGCAAGAGGAAAAGGTTCTAGACRTTAAAAGTGAGGCAGATATAGTGCCCAGTGAGACTTCTGCTGAATCTCCACTTCTGCCTGATGTGAATACTGGGATCAAGGAAGAAAGCACACCAGTGTGGGCAAGATCCTTTTTTTCCAAAGTAAACTTCCAGGAATCATTGAATTCTGAAGGAGGCATATGTATAAAGCCAATTACTGGTGATATTTTAATTTGTCTACCAAAAGGAAAACAGCATGTCCAACAGAATGAGGAAGAGGATGGGGTACAAATAATAAAGTTCATGTTCCCCAAATGTCAAGAAAGGAAGGTGCAGGAACGTCCAGAGGAACCTTCTGCTTCATTGCCAACTCTGCCTCAGCGCAAGTTGGATACAAAAGTAGAAATAGATGATGAACTGCTAAGACTTCCAAGGTCTGCTTTGCCAAAAATATCAAGTGCAGGGAAAACGGTACCTACAGGGTCAGTTGGTAATGATACCATTAAAGATGTTAAAGGTGAAAAACAACATATGCTTCAGAAAGAAACGATAGATAGAGGGAAAATAGTAGGTAAGGGAAGCATAGATATATCTTTGAAGTCAAAGAAATCACCTTCTTCCCATAAACTCCATAGATCAGAACTGCATATGATTGTCAGAGGACACAAAGGAAAAGAACATGAAGGTCCACTTGAACCACAAGGTATAGTCCCGAGAAAAATTTATGCTTTCAAACCTTCTCCACCCAAACCTAAACTGGATAAAGATACACAAGTAAATGAAGAAGAACTTGGAAATAAAACATTTCTGTTGCCACTAATGTGTTCAGCACTATCAGATGCAGAGAAAATAGCACATACAAAGGCAATAGGTGGTGATGTAAGGCAAAGAGACCCTCAGATGTCATGGAAAGAAAAAAGGTATGAGCTGAAAACAGTAGATATGAGGATCGGGGTGCATTGCAAAGAGGCAAGGATTTCACCCATTTCACATATCCTTAATATGAAGGAGTTTGTACTGAATATGAAGGTGCTGGAGAAAAAAGTGCATGAAGGAAAAGATGAATCACGTGTGGTTTTGASAAGGACTTTTCTTTCCATACCATCAGCACCTCTCCTTTCTCCGGATTCAGGGAACAAAGTAGAGGAAGTCTCAGCAAGAATGTCAGGACCCTCTCAATCACAACAGAATCTCCAGGATTTATTAGATGCCCAGAAAAGAGCAATCAGAGAATCMGTTGAAGATGATAGTAAAAACACCATGAAGCAAAGGAAACAGGGTGTGCCCCAGAAAAAGGCGGAGCCACAGGGGGCCTCAGACTTCATGATTGGAGCCCAGCAAAGGAATGACAAACCACAAGTTAAGTCAGAAAGAGATTTAATTTCAAAAGATGTGAACGTTAATTTCACAAGATTTGGTACAACACAAAATGAGAGAAGAGTGGAATTGCACTTTACAGGACAAAAGGCTCAACCAGAAAGATGCAGAGAACCTTATGGTATGTTTTATTCCTACCACACAATGGATGCAATTAAAATTGGAAATCTGAAGAAGAAAACTGAAATAACATGTAACATAAATCAGAAAGTAAGTCCTAGGGTTTCAGCTTCCCTGCCAAGGGAAACATCCAAGGAAATATATATCAAATTTGGCACCCACATAGGTTCAAAAGGAATTTCTTTTCCAGAGAGAGATGCCCACCAACAGGAAATTTCATCAGAAGTATCTCTAGAATGTGTGGATTCATGTGAATTTGATATGCCAGAGAAAGATGTACAAAGTAATAACAAAATAAGCAAAATGTTTTCTCCCAAAGTGTTAGCACCACAGACAAAGCAATCACTTGAAAAAATAAATCGCACCAAGTCAGGTACATCTCAAAATAAAGAACAAGGCRTTATCATGGAAAAGCAAGCAGTGCCGTTGTCTGAGAGTACTCAGGAGACCAGGCCAAATTCTGTGTTTTCTCTTCAGTCTCCACTTCAGGATGGAAAGCACAAGACACCGTTGGAAATAGATATAGACAAAAAAACTACAGCAGGCTCCAGCCTACAAATATTACCAGGAATACACGTGGATATTACAGAGTGTGATGACATAACAGGAAAAGAAAGTCAGGCATTACTGGTTTCAGAACAAGAGGAATGTGTTATAGAGTCCTTTAACCCACTCTGTACTTTTCAATTTCAATCTGAACTTCTGGTGGAAGAAGGTGAAGTTAACACAGCTACCACTGTGTATTTGGAACAGAAGTTAGAGATGGCCAGTGACATTACTGTGAATCGGGAAGAAGGGAAATTGAAAGTACACACACACAGAGCTATACAGCTGAAAGAGAACAAAATGGAAATGCACAAGAATAATTCTGTTGGTCTGGAGAAGGACGACACAGGATCAGCCTCAAACCGTCCTGCAAGCCTTCATGATTTATCTCCAAGAACAGAGGAGTCTCAGAGCCAGACTCCAGTAATCACACCTAAGGAAAACATCTGCCCCATCAAGCAAAAGCACAAAGAGGAACTAGGGTTGTCTAAGGTAAAAGAAAACATTCAAGTACAAAAACCACTTCAAAGAAACACTCTGGATTCACTTTATGCCTATATTCCTCTTTCCTTCAAAGGCCAGAAAGGCAAATTGACAATTGCAGATCTGGAAAGAAAACTGAACCACAGACACTTAACTATGAAAGTCCCAAATCACCCAATTTTACAGATTCTTGGTTCCATAAGACGTAGTTCTCCAAGCAATAGGATGAAATTGCAATATGAGTTTAACAAACCAAATAGAGAAGTTTCTTGGGATAAAGATGCCCCAGGAATATTTATCAGACGTCTTCGTGTTTCCAGGAAGAGTCCGCCACAAAGTGAAGAAACTGTAAAATCTAAGACAAACCGACAACGGGAAAAGAGAGTTTGTCTTTCTAAATTCCGGGGGCAATCACCAAATGCTGGTGAAATTGTCAGGAGAGACACCTCAACAGTTGTAAAAAGGGAACGAAATTTTAAAGACACAGTTCCCCAGAAGTCTCAACCCTTTGCAGTGCACAAACAACCAATGCAGAAGCGTTCTCGTGGTAAGTCAGAAGCAAGCCTCAAGAGTAAAACAGGTAGGAAAAGAGAAGTCAGTAAAAAAACAGGTCAGAAAACTCCACAAACTGAGAAAAGGATTATTCCCAGTCATGATGCCCCAAGGAACATAAAAAAACCTGATTCACATATAATTGAGCAAGAAGAAAAGATACCAGAATGCATTCTGACACCCACAGAGCACCCATCCATGTTTAAAGGTCCAAAGGAGATTGTGGAAACTCACATGAGAAGGACTATAAGTGTGAATGATCCATCTCCAGAGGAGGAAGAACCACAGTATGAGACACCTCTTGATGCCAGGGAGTGTTCCTTGTTTCCTAAGCACAGAGATCAGGGTGAACCAGCATGGGACACCACCTCCCAAGAGGTCCAGCAGCAAGTAGCTGTTCCAGGAACTGTGCCCACATCACTGCAAGTTACAAGTGACGAGACCAAAACACCTTCAAGTGCTACAAGTGCAGAAAGTTTATTTTTCATTTATGAAGCAATTAAAGCTGCCCTTGACTTCCAGGTAAAAAATATGATCCAAGACAAAGTTTCTTCTGAGAAACTGGACAAATTGCAAGCCGGGAAGTCTGATGACTCAATGTCACCCCCTTTTCCAGAGAGTCCAGATACAACATCAACAATAATGAGTTCCAAACCGCAGCACAAACCCCTTTTAAGACATTTTAATCCTGAAGATAAAAATAAACTCACCAATCATTTGGGATCAAAAGCACTTGAAATAAAACTGAGTCTGATGCCAGAGGTGGCAAAAAAATCCTTACAAATGTTTGACTTTTGTCCCAGAGGGGCGATTCCTGAAAATAACAGTTGGAGGCTCTATCCACGGCATAAACAAATGAGTCTTATGTCTCCAGAAGGGGTGGATAGTGTAGAACTTAACTTAAAACGTGATTACCAAGAAGATTCACCTCCTCTCAGCTGTATGAAGACACTGCTGGTTAATGTTTCAAGCAGCAGCAATGAGCTCATTTCAAAGTTAAACAGTATTAATAACCTAGAAAGTGAGATGTCTTCAGTGATTTTGACTAGTGAGATGCCACTGCCTCATATTCTCCAGAAGTACTCAGTCAAAGGTAAAGACAAACTTGTCATGCACTTTTCTATGAAAATATTAGAAATACAAATGAAAGCCCTTCCCAGAGTTGTAAGAGAATCTTGTGCAGTGGCCACTGCCCAGGATAGAACAAAACCTTTATCTAACTGTATTCATTCTGTCAAAGTCCCAAAGCGTAAAAACAGAATTTTCTTACTTTTTGAAGAAAAATCTCTTCATCAAATTGATCTTGATTTACAATACAAATACCTCCGCTTTCTGCTGGGGCTTTCTGATGAGAGTATGTTCCCCAAGCCAAATGCACTTCCTAAACACATTCTTAAACTACACCCGATTTCAATATGTAAAAAAGTAGATGATGGTAGAGAAAGCCATTCTCTTTCCTTTGACACAGAACTGTTAGAACAGCATATTTCTTTTAAAAAGCAAAACCCCCACAAAAACTCATTACACTTCAGAAAGTTCTTGGAGCCATCCCATATGTGTACCTCTGACGCCAGTCTACCCAGTAGGGAGCAGAAAGATTCTAGGACTATTTCTGAGCTCAAATCTGACATKACTCCAGAAAAAGATAAACAATACAGTATGTGGTTTCAAGAAACAAATACATATAAGCCTTTTAATTTAAGGATGCAGGAGAATGATACTGGTTTAGTTAACTCGCGTTCCACTCAGACTTCTGAAGATTATACTGATATTCAGATAAATACTGAGAGTTCAGCTAACCTGGACAAGTGCTTCTCCCCAGAGACACGTGAGAGTCAGGAATGTATGTTTTTAGAAACCAACCCTTACTTAAGTCGGGAGTCACAAAACGTTCTCTTGGAATTACAGAAGGGCATTCCTTTGAAAAATTTTTCTAAGATGAAAGAAGTCACAACTTACTTGCAGCAATTTTGCAGGGAAGATTTGGGCTCCCATCATATTAGAGCCTGTAGGAAACATACGTTTCTTATGAAACCACCTTCCTGTGAAAAGCACAGAAGCAGGAAATACAGATCAAATATATTCCAAATGCAGCCTCTTGATTGGTCTCCCAGCTCACTTAATACTATGGACATTCAGTCTCTGTCTCCTTCCATCTCACTCAGAGAAGAGCAGCTTTCGTGGACTTCAGGGAGCAGGACAGGGTACTCTGTAGCTTCCTTAACTGAGTCAAATATGAAATTACATCTTGAAAATGACCAAGACAAGTCTCACATGTACCTGGAAAGCAAAGAAAGAAAGAAAGCCAAATTTGATTTATTCAGAAAGAACAACATTCATCGGGACTATAACTACATTCATACACCAGGTAAAGAGATACACACAAGAAAGAGGAAAGTGTGTAATTATGACTCACAAGGATCATCTTATTCCCAAAGCAAACATAGATCATCGTCAAAAACTCATCACATGGGTATTAACTTCCATTCTGACAAAAAACAAGACCAGCCCTTCTTTTATGCCTGTGTACCAGCAGATTCACTGGAGATTATACCCAAAACCATTCGCTGGACTATTCCTCAAAAAACCTTAAGGAAGGGAAACTTCAGAATTCCACTGGTGGTAAATACTTCAAGTCCTTGGAATATATGGAGCTCATCCAAAAAGTTGTGGGAGTCACTGTCAGGGTCCTTTAGTACAGTTCATCAGAGTTGATGTCTTCATATCTAGATTCCTCTGGATTGGAACTCTGGTCACTTTGGTGGTATTCCATGACAAATAAAGTAATAGAATGTCAAATGATGTCCTCAGGAAGTGTCTTCTCAGTTGTTGGGCTTTATTTCCACAGCAGAGTTTGCATGTGTTCTGGCAAGCCAGGATGGAAGAGCAGATGACTTTGGGTTCAGTCCTACCTTGTCCAAACTCTCCTTTTAGTTGATGCTGCTGCCTGACAATCCTAAGAGGAGTGGTCCACAGCCTAGAGGCCCTTTCACCCTACACCATTGACTGAAGGGCCTGTGGGAGGAATTGTATCCCGTGTATGAGATGGAGACTGTTTAGAGAGTAAGGAGAGAAGGAGCACAGAGGCTGAAGGGGGAGTTTCAGATGGCAGTGAGGATTCCAGTGTCCAGTGCCACAGAATAGAGAACAAATACTGAGTTATGAGCACCGAGTTTGACAACCAGATGGAATATCTTAATACTAACAATTCTAGAGAACTCTAGGTTTGTGTGTGTGTGTGTGTATAAACACACATACACACAATAGTGTGATAGACTTGTATGTACCAATTTACTGGATTGCAGACTATCACCCTATAGCAAACCTGCATTGTTCACTTCTCATCAATTCTCCTCCACTAGTATTTTGAAACAAATCCTAGATATGTTRTTTAGTCCATATTTTATTGCATATCTCTGTAAACTATTTTTTTAATATTTATTTTTTGGTTGACACAATATCTTTATTTATTTTTATGTGGTTTTGAGGTTCAAACCCAGGGCCTCACATGTGCTAGGCGAGCACTCTACCGCTGAGCCACAACCCCAGGCCCTGTAAACTATTTTTAATATAACCATAATCACATCTAAAAATATAGTAATTGCTTCTTAAAATCCAAATAGAATACACAAGTGTTACAGCATAATTTAAAATGTATTCTTTCGGAGATTGCCTGTCACAAAATAGAACAAATGAGGCTATTTCAGTAGCCTGATTTCTTACCACAAATGATACAGGAGGATTGAGTGACTGGTTCTTATGTTGTGAAGAACCGTCACTAAGATATCAAATGTCCATTTGTCAAAAGGGAAAAAAAGTTTAAAACTTGAAAATAAAATTAGATACAAAGAGGTGTATTTATTCAGAGCAAGAGAAGAAATCACACATTTCAATTTTTATAAAGCTGATTGAACCAAATACATTGTAAGTCCAGAAAAATAACATCATAGTTAGCTGCTGGATAGTCATTTGCCTATATTTTTTGACTATTTGATCACCTTCATAAAACAATTTTGTAATGTCACTTATGTAAAGATCAAAAGTAATCTGGTCTTCTAGTGATTGATGGAAGTTATTTATTGTTGATGATTTAGAAAATTCAGGCACGCTCACTAATTCTGGCAACTTGGTATCTAGAACCATCAGACTTCATTAGAATAGGAAATGGCAGATGTGGTAAAGCAAACCAGTAAGTTAGATAGCATCAGCTATGTGACTTCACCCGCAGATGTCCTTGCTACTTGTGGTACTGCCATAGGTTTGTATCTAACAAACAAAATTCTGGTCAATCTACACCATGAAGTTCTCGTTTAAAAAAAATATGTAGTCAACATATATCGTTGTAAATATTTTCCTGTGAGAAGAGAACATGCATTTTGACTAGATGTCAAAGAGAAAGATTTAGCAGCTTATAATTTCACACATCTGATGAATGGCTGCATCTTCCAAAGCCCACTTTCCTAACCTAGATCTTCTTAGCTACCCACCTTCCTCCAGTTCCAGGTCCTTTAGGAAGCGTTCACCCTAAGACATAGCCCAACTTGCAGTTTTGTGTCCCTCCCTGGGATGTGTTCTTCACAATGAAGGACTCCTGGAAGCTGTTTCTATACCCAATATGTGAATGTCAATCACATTATTATATAGCCTACTGATAAACCAAATATATTCTAACTCAGCTTGCTCTGAGCTCAATCCCAAAAAATTTGCAACTTCTCCAGCCTCACCAGACATGAAACCAGATGTGGAGGATAAGTCAAAGTAAAAAGAGGTAATGCTTTTAACTAAGGGCAGTGAAAATATTTTATAAATCTGTGAGGCCCTAAAACTCGAACTCGTTTAGCTTTTATAGTATAGATGCTTTTGAAAATCAGATAACATTAGTTTATTAATTTCCATATTTCAGCAACAGTTTTTCAAATATCTACCATGTGCCCCAGACCTTGTCCTGAGCATTGGACCTAACCAACATTAACTAGCACAATCTTGACTTGGAAAACTCAAGAGGGATTAGGGAAGAGAAGCAGACATTCTCCTGAAAGACTGATCCCATTGCACACAGACAGACACACACACACACACACACACACACACACACACACATCGACATAGCCAGCTGCCATCTTATTACCATACACATAGGTGTTGCTGGTATCTTAGATGGAGAAAAGAAAGCAGGTCTGAGGCCACAATTATTTAGACTAAACCATCTGTCAAGAATTATAAATTTGGAATGGATGTTGACAAAAGGATGAATATCCAAATCGAGTCTTCTTTTAGAGACGCAAGACTCCAGCGAACAGAGGTACATGTTCCTTCTTGGGTTTAAACACTCAGAGTAGATGGTGGTGGTGTAGCCATCTTCCATTAAAACAGAAGCGATACTAATGCTCAAGTTTTAAGGTAATGAGGAAAGTTGCTGGGGTGAGGTGGAGAGAATATTTGTCATGATTTATACATTGAAAGTTTTAGATTTGGGTCTGAGATTTTCTACTGCACACAACTACACCCCTCAAGGGCTTTGACTCGTTACTTGGAAGAAATAGAGAAAGCAACAAGAATTCATCTTTAAGTCAGAGATTCCCAGATGTTCTCAGTTAATAATGATTCAGAGTCATATTTTTCTATTGTAGCTCAGGCCAAAATAAATAACAATTAAGTAGCTAAATCCAAACAACTTAATGAGAATTTATATCTTAGCAACTTAGATTATTTGAAAAAATAAGTTAAAATTAAATTTTTAACAATTTAATTCTTAACTACAATTACTTAGTGTGGGGTATGTGAGCCTGTTGGATGCCACACAGCTCCTCAAACTTTGGAATCAGATTGTGTACTCCACACTAATTCTTGTGTAGTATTTTATTTTATCAATGGCTGAAAACTCAGTGTGAGAAGAGAATTATGTAACAGAAGGAATGTGGAACAATCTGATTATGCAATGGAGCAACCTTGAACTAGCAGTTCATGCAGTGTCCAGCAGGTGCCGCTGTGTTCCCCTCACAAGTCAAACACTCCATCACAGGGCACACCTGTCGAACCCTGGTCTTCAATTTGTTTCTATGCTCTATTTTCTGTATTTTTTTTTCCCTAAGAGCAAGTCTTTAAGAACAATAGAAAAATGAGGGGTGGTATGAGTGAGGGAAAGTGAAAATTCAGAGGATGAGAGTCTGAAGCCAGATTCATTGTTTTCTGCCATCATATTACACACAGGCACTGTAATTGAAATCAGTTTATATTTGTGACAACAGAACAGGTGGGCCTCAGTTCATTTCCATAGTCTTCACCACCCAGCTCTCCTTCATCCCTTCACTTTTCTCCCCAAATTTCAAACACCTTCTATCCCACCCTCACAATCAGAGGGCCTTACTAACACCTCATTGAGGAGGGAAGGGACTTCACAAACTATACCACATCACCTGTGTGACAGCCTTACCTCTGGCCACAGGTGAGTGAGCCCTGCTCTGCATAGCCCATGCCTCTTTTTATTCACAAGATACTGTTCCTCGTATTGTCTTAGTTTCTTGGGCTGCTATAACCAAATTCCTTAGACTGAACATGGATGTATTTCTTTTAGTTCTGGAGACTAGGAAATCCAAGATAAAGGTGGCAGCAGATTTAATGTCTGATGGGGACCTGTTCCTCATAGATAGTGTCTTCTTGCTGTGTCCTCACGTGGCAGAAGGGTTAAAAGGGCCAAACAGGCTTCCTCCTACCCCACATCCCTTTTTGAAGTAGGGAAGATCAAACCCACCACCTCTGTCAGGCCAGGGAAACGCTCTGCCATTGAGCTACTCCCAAGCTCAGTCTTTATGTTTTATTTGGAGACCGGGTCTTGCTAAGTTGCCCAAGCTACCCTGGAACTTGAAATCTGCCTGCCTCAATCTCCCCAGTCTTGGGGACTACAGACCCGTGTCACCAACTCATTTATCAAGCCCTTTGATAAGGGCTCCAATCCCATTCTTGAAGCCTCCACCTTACCTCTGGTTACTTCATAAAGACCCCATCTCTCCAGACAAATGCTTTAGGGATTAGCCTTCAACAGGAATTTTGGAGACACAAATGCCCAGGCCACAGCACTCACCCAACCAATCATGAATGTTTTTCTTTCTTCTCCCCTGCACCATCATGACTATACCAAGTCACTTCTAAGAGGAGACATGGTGTCATTTCTTTTGTCTAAAAAAATTACACAAAACCCATCTATCACTCCTTCTGTTAAGGTTTGGACCTAGAATATCCCCTAAATGCTCATGTGTTGAAGACTCAGTCCCAATGTATCAGTGTCCAGAGGTGGGACTTTGGGGAAGTGAATGGATCATGAAGGCTGTACCCTCATCAATGAATGAATGGATGAATTTGATGGAATCATAAATTGAATGGACCACGAGGAGAGGTGGAAACTATAAGCAGGTGGGGTATGGTTGAAGGAAGCTGGTCACTGGGAACATGCCTTTGAACTGTAGATTCTGCCTGGCCCTTTTTTATCACTCTCCTCCACCCACTGATTCCCAGCTACCATTAGCTAAGCAGCTTTCCTCCTCCATGACTGTCCACCATGATGTTCTGCCTCACCTCAGGGCCAGAGAAATGGAGTCAGCTGACCATAGACTAAGACATCTGGAACCATGAGCCAAAGTAAGCCTCTCCTCTTTCAAGTGTTCTGGTCACAGTGATGAAAAACAGTAACACAGGGGTGTGTGTGTGTAAAGGGACCT